AATGAGGTATTCATGTGCAAATTTCTTTGATCACATTCCTAAGAATGGTGTTGCTGAGATTTTAAGGAATTTCAATGTTCAGCTTTCAKATGAAATGTGGTTGAACCAATTCACATTTCCACCAGCAATGTATAAGAATTCCTAATTTTTCAGGTGCAAGTGGTGCACACCTGTAATCCAGGAACTCAAAGACGCTGAGACCGTGGTGCACTCTTGTAGTCCCAGGAACTCAGGAGGCTGAGACAATAAAACTGCAAAATGGATACCAGCCTGGGTAATTTAGCATGATCCTATCTCAAAAAATTATTTAAAGGACTGGGAGAATAGCGCAATGATATAGTGTTCTTGGGTTCAAACCCTGGTATGGAAGAAGRAGAAAAAAAGAAAAAGAAATTCCTTCTAATTCACATCTTAACAAGCTATACTTCTTGTTTGACTTGATTTTGCTCAATGTACATTTTCATTAATTTCCTGTCTCTTAAAACAAATTTACCCACTTGTCTTCATTTACTCTTTTAATTACTTTATATTCAATTTGTCAAGTTGGAAAAATCCAATTGGAATTAGTTTAGAAAATGCAAAACCAACAGATTAATTACAAAGTATTATTCTCATTATACTTTTAATTCCCCTCTACTCCAAGGATATGGCTTATTTCTCGATTCAGATCAAGATCTTCTGGTGACTTTATTTTTTAAATTTTTCTGCACTACTGGGGGTCAAATCCAGGGCTGCTACATCCTCAGCCCTTTTTCATTTTTGAGATAGGATCTCACTAAATTGCTGAGGCTGGCATAAAACTCAAGATCCTCCTATACCAACCTCCCTAGTAACTGGGATATCAAGCCTGCATCATCGTGCCCAGCAACTATTAAATCTATTATACTAACTTTTTTTTATTTTTTGCAGTGCTGRGGATTGAATCCAGGGTCTTACGCATATTAGACAAGCACTCCACCACTACACTACATCCCCAGCCCTGCTTGCTTATATTTATCTTCATTTAACTGTGGAAAGTTTAAAAAAAAATTAAAAAGAGCAAGCAGACACATATAACAGCATTTTATGTTCATTATATAAACTAACACAAATAATAAAAAATCATTTTTAAGCCAGACGAAGTGGCACACTTCTGCAATCCCAATGACTCCAGAGGCTGAGGCAGGTCACAAATTCAAGGTCATTCTCAGCAACTTAGTTTAGTGAGACTGTTTCAAAAAAAAAAAAAAAAGCAGGGGTGGGGGTAGGGATATATACCTGTAATCCCAGCAATTTAGGAGACAGAAGACAGTAGGATAGCAAATTTGAGGGCAGCCTCAGAAACTTGGCAAGGCCCTAAGCAACTTAGTGAGACTAAAAAGGACTGGGGATGTAGCTCCATGGTAAAGTTTCCTGGATTCAATCCCTAATACAAAAGAATCTTTTTTTCTCCTTTCAGAAAACAAGTTGACTGATTCCTTGTGTTTCTACAATTGCATTTTATTGTCATCACAGCTGAATACCAATTTGGTTAACAGAGAAGTCTATATTCAAAATCTACATCCCTGAGAATTATATCAATATTTTTCCATCAAACATTGAAGGTGAATATTCATTCATAAAATAGCACGAGGCCATTCTGGGCAGCACTCAAGACACAGGGGAGACAACAATGAATAAAAAGGCAACAACAAAAAAATCCCTGCCCTGGAGGAGCCGAGAGTATAGCTATGAAGGAGTAATCAACAAATACATAATTATAGTATATAATGCACCAAAAGGTAATATGTGCAAATAAACAGCAGATAGGGCCAGCAAGATCTATATGGGCAGTACAAAAAGGTAGTTTGGGTCTCATGGCACCTTATGAGAAATGGGCAGGTTTCCCTGGAGGAATCCTAGTCTAAGTGCTAGGCTCTGCACCTTGGATTTCCTCCTTTTTCTGTATCTTGGTATCCTCATCTTCACTGGCCTGTTAGCACTTTTTTTTTTTTTTTTTTTTGCACTGGGGCTTGAACCCAGGGGTGCTTAACCAGTGAACCATATCCCCAACCCTTTTAACTTTTTTTTTTTTTTTTTTTTTGAGACAGGGTCTCACTAAGTTGTTTAGGGTCTTGCTAAATTGCTGAGGTTGGCCGCAAGCTTGCAATCCTCCTGAGTCAGCCTCCAAAGTTGCTGGGATTACAGGTGCACACCACTATGCCCAGCTAGGGCTTACTATTTAAGTACTGAACTTACTACAGTGGGGGAGGGAGAAGGGGTTGTTGCAGGGAAAGAGGTGTTAGGTGTGTAAATCCAGACACAGATTTAAAATCCAGTACCTAGCTTACTAATTTTGTTACTTTTCTTTTTTAGATGTTGATAGACGTTTATTTTATTCATTTATTTATATGCAGTGCTGGGAATCCAACCCAGTGTCTCAGAAGGGCTAGGCAAGGGCTCTACCACTGAGCCACAACCCCAGCCCTAATTTTGTTATTTTACACAAATTACTAATCTCTGGGTGCCTTGGTTTCCTCCTCATCTTAGAAATAATAAAGAGAAAATTCTCATAGTTATCATGAAGGTTAAACATTAAATGTAAAGTTCTCGGTCCTGTGTCTAGCACAATGTTAGCTATATTTTCCTTACATATGTTCTTTCTTTTAAAATATATATATATATATATATATATTTTTTTTAGTTGTAGATGGGACACAGTGTCTTTATTGTTTATTCCTTTTTACATGGTGCTGAGGATTGAACCCAGTGCCTCACACGTGCTAGGTTAAATGCTCTACCCCTGAGCCACAAACCTGATGTTCTCATCAGGGCTGAAATACTACTATTTGAGTCTGAGTCTCCTTTCCTCACAACTTGTGATAACTTCACTGCAATCCCTTTTTACATATCACTTAGAAATACCTTAAAAGTGAGACCCAACAAATATCAAGATTTATCCAAGTTAGAGTTGTCATACATCCCAACAACTCTCTTGCTTCAGTGAGTCACATTACCTCAATTCTATTTCACAAATTAAAATTTCAGTTTGATTTATAAAAAAACAACAACAACAAAAGCACTGAAATGAGCTAGGTTGTGGCCTAGTGATAGAGCACTTGCCAAGCATGTATGAGGCACTGGGTTGATTCTCAGCACCGCATATGAATAAAGTAAAGGTCCATCAACAATTAAAAAAAATTTAAAAAGCACCAAAAGCTCAAGTTAAAACAAAATTAAAGAGCATTCTCTGAGAGAGAAAGGTGAAAATCATAAATAATAATTAAGGATCCATAGTTTTTGAGGGTAAGCCTAAGAAACCGTCTTTTAAAAGATTAACACCCCAGGCACTAGATGAGGTCAGAAAGACAAAGACATATCTGGTGTTTTCAGACTTTTAGTCCCATGGATCTACAATTAGAAGAAAACTGTAGTGACAAAATTTTAATAAAATGATTATAGGTCAAATGAAACTGTCACTGATTTTACATAACCATTTAATCTCTAAAATTCACCACCCCACTTTACAGAAGAGGTTACTGAGACTCAGGAAATTTCCCAAGATCAAGTTAAAACTAGTAAAGGATCAATTTCCCTTAACTGGGAACTGTCAACACCTTAAAGCTCTGAAGTTATTTTATTCTCATGCATTTAATCTAAACTCATTAAAGATTTGAGAAAATAAAAATAAGACCATCAAGTCAACCTTTACCACTTAGTCTGACATTCCAGAGTCTGCATGTGCACACTTTCAGATTCAAATACTATTAAATACGTAACAAACCTTGCCCTCAAAGAGCCCGTCAGAAGAACACAACAGAACAGGAATGTTACAATTTGAATGTTACAGAAGAGCCAATGTTGAAAATTAAGTAGCTTATCTAAAATGTTCTTGATCATGTGCTTTTATTACTATGATTAAAAGACCCTTTACCAATGTTGGGATAAAGAACAAAGGGAGGGAAATTGGAAATGATATTTTCATAATGAATCATTTTATCACATTATCAATCTTGCCAGACCCAACTACTCATTCAGTGTTGTGGGTTGTGGCTTTTTACTTGCTTAATAAAACTCGGGTATCATAAACATTTTCTAAAACAGTATTTTAACTAGAAGCAATGATCAAACAGGCAACTCGAGGGAGAAATCAGAGTGTCTGCAAGTAACTGGCAGTGCTGATCAGGAAAGGAGAGCTAGACCACGGAGAACAAAGGCTACCATTCCTGATGTATTTCACTACTGAAGCAAAAACTAAAAACTAAACAAAAAGAACAAGCCTTTCAGGTTCAAGCATCGTACAACTTCTCTCAATTTTTAYCCATCTCATTGGGGAACGTCAAGTAAACCATCCTGGAGTCCCTTGCCTATCGTCTCATTTCACTCTCTCTAGGTTTATTTCCCCGCTTGAAGATAGAAAACACATGTTGTAAAATAAAGGTGAGTAACCTTCAGGGTCTGCAGCAATTTCTCATTTGATTGGCCCAAGTCAGAAATCGGATTCGGGAAGCCTCAAGCTCCGATTCCCACAAGTCGCTTCTGCCTCTGAGCAACTTCAACTCCAATTACCGCTAAGTCCAGCCAAGCCTCAGTGACCGCGGCGCACTGGACTGGGCATTCCACTGCAGCTCGACCCTCCCTCCCCGCTCGGGCTGTCTTCACCTCCTACCCCGCGGTGGAGGCGCTCCCGGGCCCCCCCCCGCCCCCGAGACCAAAAGGCTTTCCCTCTGGGGAGAGCGTAGAGATGAGGGTACATTCTGGAAGGCTCTGAGCACTTGGGGAGCCGGGCAGCTCCAAGAGGGAGGAGGGGGCAGGGTCCGGGAGGGGGCGGGAGTCGGCGCCATCCATCAAACGCTCCGCGCTAGGAGATCTCGGAGTTTTATCCGGGCCTCCACCGCAGCCCAGGAATCCTCCCTCGCACCCTGGGCCGGGTGGGTATGTGGGGTCCAAGCTCCCGAAGAGAAGTGATGAATCGCGGCCCGGATCCCCAGGGGACGTGAGGCAAGAGGAACAAAGCCGCGGCCACCCGGAGGCCCGCTTACCTGCCGTCAGAAGCTGCATGGCATGAGTAAAGGACGGGTCGAGCGAGTCCTTCTCAGCCATGAGTTCGGGCAGGTACTTGTTTTCTGGCTCCATCTTGACCGAGGCCGTGGCTGACGGGGGTAGCAGTGGGGTCGGCGCCGGCCCGCCCACTGTGGCGTCGGGACCTGTGGCCGAGGGAGGCAGCAGCGGTGGCGGCTGCGTGGCTGGCGAGGCCCGGGCGCCCCCTCGGGGCCCCCCTCCGCCTCCCCGGGACCGGTGAGGCAGCGGAGGCTGCCGAGACGGCGTCTGACGCACCGAGGGGTGGGCACCTGAGGGGTCCATAGAGCCGCTGCGGCCCGAGGACCGGGTCATGCGCGCGGCAGGATCGTCCCGGCGCTGCATCGGAGAGGATGTGCGAGCGAGAGAGCGAGCAAGGAAGCGACGCGGCAGAGACCCGAGCGGCGGTTGGCAGGGGTGGGAGAGCAGGGGCGACAGCGACCGAAGCCGACCCGAGCGACCCAGCGAGAGAGCACCGGAAATGAGGCGGCGCGCGTGCGCAGCCGGCCACCGGCACCGCCCTTGGGTTTCTCCGCGAAGAACAAAGTCCCCAGTCGGGCCACGGCGCTTGCGCACCGCCACGGCGCCCAAAGACGTCCCCTCCCTGTTCCTCTTTTCCCTCTGAGCCCGCCGGGCCGGATCTTGGGGCGCGTGCGCGGGCGACCGCGGGTTTCGTTCGTTTTTTCTTTTCCACGTGACTCGGCGCTAGCGGGACACGTGTCTCCTCCCCTTCTGGCCGGGTGCGTGGAGGGGGCGGAGGATGTGGAATGTCTTTGTCTGCGCGCGGGCCCGCGGAATGTGGGGCGGGAGACCTGTTACTCACGGGCCACGCCTCCTCCAACGGCTGAGCCGCGGGGGACCCTGGGGGCAGACGGTGCAGGACCAAATGGGAGTGGGGGTGGAGTGGGAGAACCGTCACCGAAGCAAGGGAATGAGAAAGTGTCGCGGGGGTGGTGGGAAGGGGAAAGAGAGAGAACTGAGGCGGGAGGTGGCGAATTGGGAAGAGACAGGGACCTGCGCAGGCAAAAGGGGAAGACTATGGGAGCTTCTGACGCAGGGATGAGTGGTAGGGATGGAGAAGGGAATGCTGGAGTGAGAGGCTGCCTCAGTGGGAAGACTTAAGGCCACTTATTGCAGGGCTTCAACGAAGAGGGAAGTTTACATGAGCGATGAGAACCCAAGAAGTCGTGTCCCAAGGCTTCCAGTATGTTAGGTTTTAAAACGTTAGGCATTGTTGGTCAGAGAAATCTTATTAGAGAAGCTTTTTAGTAGATCATCTAACATTCTGTTGCTTTCTGCTGACTTCGTGTTTCTCCTCCGAAAAAGTGGATTCAAGGCCAGGTCCTTCAGAATAGCTGAATCATTAGGATGGCTCCTTCTACCACTGATGTGAATGTTAATCTTCTGCCTCAGTTGGCCTTTCACAAACCATTCCAAATTTGCTGGAAGAGAGAGCTTTAACACTGCCCTAAAGGCCAAGATACTTAGTTTCCCAAGGTATTCTCACCCTGGGGTACTGTATGCAAGTGGAGCCTGGGTCTCTACCACCACCACCACCACCACCMCCCMAAAAAATTGGGGCCTTCCCCAACTTTCCCTTCCCTTCACAGAATTTTGTTTTCCCTAAACTAGTCACTTTATCCCTTCTTTTGTATCTGATGAACCAACACGGATCCAGTGAACCCACACTTTTCAGGAATTCTGGAACCTGGAAATTGTGGACATTTGGATCTGAAACTTAGAACCCTTCAACTAGGGAACATTAAGGCCTGGCTATGACCTTCTTTGGGGTAGGAGGAAAAAAATCAACAAATTACCTCAAGAAATAACAAAACAAATATCTGTATATTTTATATATGTATAGTATATTATTTATATTATTACATACTGTGTATTGTGTTGTATATAAATATTGTGGTGTTTTATGTTAAAAATTTCCTGGTGTCGTGTTTGCTTTTGAGGGTCGTTTAAGTGACCCTTGTCTCCAAGTCGTGGGGACCTACCCCTATAATCCAGGCTACTCAGGAGGTTGAGGCAGAAAGATCCCAATTGTGAGACCAACTTCATCAACTTAGACCGTGTCTCTAAATTTAAAAAGGACTCAGAATGTAGCTCAGTGAGAAAACAGCCCTGGGTTCAATCCTCAGTATACAAACACAACATAGGCAGTGACCCTTGTCTTTAGGTAGTTTGAGGTCAAGTAGGCAAAATATGTTATTTCTGTGGCAATTTTTTTTTTTTTTTTTTTTTTTTGGTGCTGGGGATCAAACCCAGGACTTTGTGCATGCAAGGCAAGCACTTTACCAACTGAGCTATATCCCCAGCCCACAACAATTTTTTTAATACTTATTTTTTGAGTATAGATGGACACAACACAATGCCTTTATTTTTATGTGGTGCTGAGGATCGAACCCCGATCCCATCCATGCTAGGCAAGCATTCTACCACTGAGCCACAATCCCAGCCCCCCACAACATTTTAATATAACCAAAATATAGGGTACCATCAGATTTCTAGAAATTTCATACAATTTGGGGATCACTTATATCAATAATATACCCATAAATATGTTAAAGGTCTAACATCATTTCTTATTTCCTTCCCATATTGTTTATCATATAAAATAAGCCTAATTTGTTTTCCTTTTACAAGGTGAGAGACCCAACTTTTGAGGTTTTTAAAAATAAAAATTTTTAAAAAGGACTGGAAATGTAGTTCAGTGGTAGATCACCCCTGGCTTCAATCTGTGGTACCAAAACAAACAACAACAACAAAAAAATAACTTAGTTCTTTGAATATGAAAAGACTCAAGTAATCAAAGATATAATTTTAAAAAAAGGCACAAAATCCAAGAAATTATCTTGATAAGTCACAGAATCTTTGTCTCCTATTCCAACTAAGTGGCCTTTCACTATTTTCTATTAAGAGCAGATCGGTGGGGCTGGGGATATGGCTCAAGCAGTAGTGCGCTCGACTGGCATGCGTGCGGCCCGGGTTCGATTCTCAGCACCACATACAAACAAAGATGTTGTGTCCGCCAAAAACTAAAATAAATAAATAAATAAATATTAAAAAAAAAAAAAAAGAACAGATCGGTACTCCAAGAAAACCATTGTTTTAACAAAGGACCAAATTCTAGTTTTGTATCAGTTTATGTTTGATATTAATGTCAATTTTTAGAAAAACTTGATTCCTTTCTAATTTTAGCCAAATTGACCACACACAAAATTTTTTTTCCTACAAGTTTCATCTTCCCCAAACCTTTTACAACTTTCTTGCCTACTTAGTTTTTGTTCTATACATCTTATTTTGGAACAGCTAGTCTTTCCACTTTAGGACAAAAGGTATTCTTTTTTTTCCCTTAATGAAAACCTACCTTCTATACCTCATAGCTTTGCTTAACAAAAATGTGCCTTTTCTTCCAAAAATAGGAATTTTGTAATAATTCTGGTTTTAGTTGCCATATTTTTTTAAATATTTTTTTAGATGTTGATGGACTTTTATTTATTTATTTTTATGTGGTCTGAGGATCAAACCCAGTGCCTCACACATGCTAGGAAAGTGCTCTACCACTGGGTCAAAACCCCAGCCCTTAATTGCTTTAAAATATTAATTAGAAGTTTTCTTTGTTCCTCTTTGATGTTGAGGATTGAACCCAGGATTACACTCTTGCTAAGCACATCCTCTACTACCGAGCTACACCCCTATCCCCTAGAATTTTTTTTTACATTTTTAGTTGGACACAATACCTTTATTTATTTTTATGCAGGGCTGAAGATCGAACCCAGTGCCAGGCAAATGCTGTACCACCACTAATCTGAAACCCCAGCCCTAGAATTTTTAATTCTTAGTGACCTTAACTTCTAGTGAAAACCTAAGAAGTATACAATTTTGAACTGATTTATATCGGCATTTTGTAGAAGAGCATCATTTCATCATTTTTAGAAAGGTATTTCTTCATAAGACAATTTTTCATGTTTATTAAAAGACCCAAATACATTTAGATACTATATACCATATAAAAATAAGATGCACTTTAAACTTCCATTTGGCAATTAATGTTTCAGTATTTTGAGTAGAAATGACTCAGATGTTTTTAATGAATATTAATTTAACATAACATGGCTTTAAGATTTCAAGTTACTGAAAAAGACTTTTGAAACTGTGACAAATTCATTTATAAACTTTTATCCTGTCTACTTTTACCTAGTTACTCATCCCTAACAATTATGCTTAAATTGCTCATTAAACAAAACTAGCTGAAGACATTCAAGAAATGCCACCCCAAAACATGTTTCCTTGATATATTGATTACCAAAAGGAAAACAGGCAAGGCTTTCTCAATTCCCCTTATCTGTCCAAACACAGATCCTTCAATAGGAAATCAGTTGTCATCAGTCCTCTTCCGAGGTTGTCCCAGCAATGAGGAGAAATCAACTTTTACCCAGGAGAGGGGATTTCACCATACTCAAACCCTATCACCAACCATCCCCCAAGAATCATTTATACTGAGGATCTCTCTTCATCCTCTAACCATTATATCTATTCCAGCAGGCAACTAAGTTAAATAAACAACCTTTGTTCTTTCTTTGACTGTCCTACCTGTTGATGGCCTTGGGTCAGAGCCAAGATAAAAAGCCTAAGAGTGAAACCCACAGAGTTGGGTCATGTAATGCTCTCAGTGGACCTTGTTGCATGAACATTTTGAGTCACCCAATGTTAGCTACTCTGTGCCATGGTGACCTTATCCTTTCATGAGAGTATTATTACTATTATTATTTTGGTGGTGAGTGCTCTTACAGATCTGAAGTGCCAGAGGCCTGAACCATGGCTCACAAATCAAATTGTAGCTTTGACTCTTAAATCCCCTTGACCAACTTAGCCATGATTTTCCCCTAAGAAAATGAAACAAAGAGGATAGAACACAAAGTCCCTGAGGATTTCCAAAAGCCAGAGTTCACACTTTCTGCAGTAATTGCCATTTATTGCCAGTTTGTGCCTGACTCAGACACTAAGTGTCCTCTCTATTGAACCCATTCCTCTTTCTGTCTTGATTTCCCCTCTTGCCAGTAACTTGTCAGCAATTGCAAATACCAAAAGGTCATATACTGGGGCTGGGGATGTGGCTCAAGCGGTAGCGCGCTCACCTGGCATGCATGTGGCCCGGGTTTGATCCTCAGCACCACAAACAAACAAAGATGTTGTGTCCACCAAAAACTAAAATAAACAAATAAATAAATATTAAAAAAAAAAACTAGGAAAAAAAAAAGGTCATATACTCTCTCATGGCACAAACTAAACTTGGATTTGAAAGTCACAAAGATTGGGGGACTCAAGGAAAAAGGGCAAAGTCTGACCTAACAGGCACTTAATTTACGACCCCCGGAGTTCCAAGAAGATAGGGAACTGCAAAAGGGGTCAGTGGCACCTCTCTGGTGTTCCTCAAGGGTTCTCAGGAATTTGCCAGAAGTATATTTCAGGTCCCTTTTTTGGTTTGCCAGAACTGTGAAGACAAAACAAATTGGGTTTAGAATCTTAATTGGCTTTTATTTGTGATTCTAGATTCAGTCAACACATCCTGGAATGAGTGTTCCCCACAAAATAATTTTTTTATAATAATTGTAATGAAGACCATGAA